GAAGAAACCATTTCCAGAAACAACAATATTGATCAACGCTCAGGTGTTGAATTGACCTTTGTGCCATGGCACGCGGGGTGCACCGGCAGGTTTGTTGGATTGCGCTTAGAGAATTTCGCATGGTACTTGTAGCGGACGTCAGCTCCAAAGACCCGGAGCCACTCCGGTCTGACGGGCTGTGTCACACACTGCTGATAGTCTTATTAGAAATGTGTTAGTGGCAGTTTTCGTTCAGACATGATGCCCTTTCCCCTGCAAGACCTTGTGGATATTTGTGGATCTGAGGAGGACAGAGATTGGATGGGAGGTTTGCACAACGCCGCATGAACAGTTTGCACTGTAACAGAGAACGACCAGCCTGCTGAATGAGATCTTGGCATATAGAAGGAAGATGAAGGAAGCTTGACCATCGGGGAATGATCTATCAGATGGAGCAAGATTAGACGTTTGACCGTCACTGCACGCATCACAGCTCCAGGCCAAGTTCCTGCTCCGATGGACAAGGGACCATTCAGGAAATGAGGACGTACTGACAGGGTATCAACCGCTTCGCAAGAGCCGCCTCGACAACGATCGCCGGGGCGGTGCACAGATTGCCAGAAGAAGTCAGAATCTGCAACAGCAAGGAAAAGAAGATGTGGGGGAAGGAGGGGAAGGGTGAGGGGAACGGACGAGGGGACCAGAGGAAGTGAGGCATGGGAAGGATCTAGCTTTGCAGGCCGGAGGGCGAAGGAAAGAGCAATAGAAAGATTTGGTCAAGATGCTTTGTACATGGCAGCAAGAACAAGAAGGTGAAATGTCGCAATGGAATGAATGGAACAATGGATACACGTGACTGGACCTCCGACGATGGAGGCTGCACGAATGAAGACTGGAGCGATACTGATTGGGGTCAAACATTGACTGGCGAAAAGAGGTGAATGGGCACAGCGAACGGTGACAACTGTAGTACCAAATGTGGCAACGTCCGCGGAGTTCGTGGAATGCCTTCTGATCAAGTCGAGCCCACCCGCGCCCAGCCCCAGCCTGCACGCCTGGTCATAAGCCCGACCTGGAGTGTTGTTGAGCTTTACACAGAGGGGCCCCCAAACGCGCGCCGCCTCCCGCAAAGACCTTTAGAGCCTTCTACTTGTACTGTACCAAGGGAAGGGCGAGGGGTGCCCAAACGCGCACCACCTCCCACAAAGCCCTTCAAAGCGTCCTAGAGGAGAGGATTCCAGCATCATCACAACGGTGGCTAGCACTCGCAATCATGGGAGTCTTTCGGAAGTGTCCTGACCGGCTTGCAGTGGGCCTCTGGGCAGGTTCGGAAAGAGTTCGGGGCATCGTGGAACTTCTTAGAAGCAGAGTTGTCAACTGGACCGTGGCAATGGTCGATCTCGGAGTGTTCACCGTTTGCACTGGTGACTGCAATGAGGTTTTTGTGTTCAAATGTGTTCAAAACTGTCGAAAGAATACATGCCTGTGATTGATCCATGCGTCCATCTTTTCCAATGTGATGACAACGAACATTGGAGTCCTGTCGTGATGCTGTGCTTCGAAGCTTGTACCAGAAATTTCGTCGTCAATGCTTGCTGGGTTTCAAGCGCTGTGAGACAATCCGGCGATAGTTCCGCTTCTGAGATGCCACCGTTCTCTCTGCCCAGGCCTACGAAGATGGTGGGCTTGACTCCGCAAGAGGCATGTTTAGCGGCGCGATATCGCGATTCGTTGCGGTCGCACCGCAACCCAGAGAGGTCGCATTTGCCGAAGAACTCCTCGAGCATGACGCAGATGATACCACGTCCTTACTGGAGGAGGCAAAGCTCAAGTTGGGCGAAACACGAATTATTATCGACAAGATCTCGCAACATGCGCATGTTGCGTGACATGCTTGTAAAACCCTGCTCCTAGTCGCTCAGCACTCGCACTTATTTCAGGCACCCCTCGAGCTCGAGCTGACGATTTCTCCGCCAGGTCACTTGGATTCGACGTAAGGGAGCCGTGTCTATGACTAGCAGGCGCTTGACAAGCGCAGAGTAATTGTAAATGAGAGATGCCCAAGGCTTCTTGGAGCTGCAGCGCTTGCATGAGGCTGTTGAGGCAAGCACGCGTTGGTGCCATTAGTTTCCAGCTGTGCCAGCTGAAGTGCTTCCGTTACCCAGCATCCAACCATGACAGGCAGACGATGTGGAGCCTTTGCAGGCTGCAATTCTGCAAGCGCAGGCACGACCAAGACTTCGTCGATCAATGTGAAGTTAAGATTGGCTGGTTCATTGAACTTGGATTATCATCTTCTAACCTCACAGGATGCAGGCGTGTCCGCCGAGGAGGCCGGTGAAAATGACTGCGGTGATCCGCCGGAACGCTGTATTTAGCAAGAGTATTCGTAACTCGAGTCTACCTAGGCACATGATCCAGCATGGAGGAGAGACGTAGTCAACCTGTCACGCAAAACGAAGAGGTGGCCTTTGCTGTCGCTGTTTGCGCTCAACGCAAAGAGCAGCGCAAGCGACAAGCACTGGAGGCAGCTGAGCGGCGAAGCCTGCAAAAGACTTAAGTTCCAGTGCCTCCAGTGCCTTGCCCGTTGAATGCCCAAGCTGAACGGCACTTGCCCAAACATGGCTGATAAGACTGTTATGTCAAGTCATGACTCTCGAAGGTCGAAGCATTGGAGGCATGCAAACAGGACCCTCCATACCATCAGCAACTACCCACTTTGTTCTGCACTGACCACTCCAGGGCACATTGTGTCGATCGCCGCTTGCTTGATCTTGCATACCTGTCTCGCCATCTACTCTTGTGCATTGTCGTGCTCATCTTGACTTGAGAGCAGGCATGTTCAGCCCGTGCAGGCGCTAGACGAATGTGGCTTTAGCTGATGATGCTTGCAAATTATGCTATCAGGTTCTGCAGAAGGTCAGTGCCTCCTGCAATGGCAAAGCTCTGAGCATCAGCCAACTTGGTTTTTCCAAGACGTGCTTTGCAACTTCGTGTCCTGCTTTGGCGTGGCAGTTCTCGTCCTGCATCGTTTTGCAAGCGTGGCTTAGGGGGTGCTATTATGGTGTGCTGAGGCATGTCAGGCATCGTGAAGCTGCGGTCGGCCTTGATGCTTGCACGCGCGGCAGGGGTTAGCCGTGTCCCTGGAATGTGGCATTATTCATCAACAGAGGTTGCTAGTCGTCACTCGCACACGAACGTCTCGGAACTGCAAGCCTTCGCAGAGTCTTTGGAGTTTGACCAAGGCCCTGAAGAACTTCGGCCTGCAGAAGATTTGCGCGCTGTTTGCTGCATTCCCATCTTCCATGTCACTGGCCACAGAGCTGTTTCAGTCTGCGTCTGTATCGTCGATCAGGTGAAGCCAAAGCTCGGCAGCTGCTTCCAAGTTCATTGGCGCGCCCGGCATGTGTATTGTTCTTTTTCTTGGAGAAGCAAACGGACACAGCTGTTATCAAGGGCCCGAATACTCGCTCACTACCAAAATTTGCTGACAAAGGCTATACACCGCCGCGATGCTGGCCAACCTCGCCCAGGCGCAGGTGTTGTGTGTGCCATGCGCCGCCCTTCGTGAAAGTGCGTGAACTGGGGCTGGTCTGCTGGTCTACGGCCTGAAGCATTGAACCGCTTTGATGCAGGCCAACGCTTGCGATGGGCTGATGAAGTTGGCATCTCATCCACCGTGCCCAAGCTCATTCCTGTCAGTAGAGTTAAACTTGGATGCGAAGTTTCAGGAAGCTTTTGGTGACTTTAGTTTTGCATTGGGATGCCGCCTGCAGTGTCGTTTTAGGACATCTGAAAGCGAAACTGGAAAAATCAAGCAGACTTTACTTTCGAGGTGTTACAGTTCCCGAGATAAACCAATGAACGAAGTCTCCTCAGTGGCAAGGTGGAATTTCCGGAGCTGGCCATGAAGCGAAGTTAGTCAGCCAGTCTGGCATTGAGCCAATCCAGCACTGGAGAAAAGAGTGCTGGTCTCGTTGCACCGCTCTTTTCGCACCCAAGGCCACATCTGTTTGTACAGGTCATGGCTCAGTCTTGCTGACATCCACACTCGGGAATTCAGAGCTGCTGATGGTGCTGTCTACTGTAATCTACGCCCTCCTCATCGAGGATCGTTGACGCTGAATTCTCCGACTGTGGCCAGCGATTTCTGTACATAGACGCGATCAGAAGCAGAAGCCTTTAATTGACACAGAGACTTGTAAACGCTGTGCCTTCGCACGCGATTTCAGTCCGTCTACATGGGGCAAGCAACTGAAGCTGCAATGCCGTGACAGGTTTTTTGATTAACTTCGAATTGGATTCGAGTGGTTTGCAAAGAACCTTCGGCTCGTAGGTTTGCGAAGGCGCCCGGCCTCAGCAATTTGCGCACAAGTTGTACAGTAGCGCCAGCAGGTCTCAACTCCTCTTCATCAGAAGTGCAGAAATGTGCATTATAGCAGAGTACATACAGTTTTTTTGCCAGCGGCGTTCCGCAGAAGCAGTTGCGTGCAGTCGGGCCCAACAGTGCATTTCAACATCTATTGTTCAGTTGCATGGGAATGGCTTGCCCACATCTGGTTGTTGCAGGTTGAGCTGCCTCGATTTACCAGAATCTCTGTGCAAACTGAACAGGAGCAGATATGCCGAACCCAGGAGGCCGTAACGAGTCCGTAGTGGGACCTCTGGTTATCAGGGGACGGCACGGCACAAAGATCACAAAGTCTACAGTAGGAAGTGTTCACAGACTCGGTCCAGACAGGTTTCCAGGCAGCACACAAGTGTTTCGACCGCGGTTGTTTGAGCTCATGACCTTGTCAGACCGCATGTTATTGCGCGCCACTCGCCGCGTCGAGAAAATTCGATTCGCCAGCTGCCGCGGCATGTACTTCACGAACAAAGCGCCGCACGCGCCTTTTTGCAGCATTCAGCTCGGCCCAGTTTGTAGGGTGTTTCGAGCCACGGTGGCTGGATTTGTGCGTGTCATTTGAACGAAGCTCTGCAGGGCAAGGAGAAGTTTGGATCTTGGGGTGCATCCAACCCTGCAGACGCTTCTCTGTTCTGGCTTGAAAGTTCATGCAGATAAACACGCTTGACGTATGATGGTGATTGTGCATGTCTCGGGTTTGTGGATGGCGAAAATCCGGATGGTAATGCTTGCGCCAGTACTGTACTTGGAAATCCCAGAGCATCCCAACTGGGATGCACTACTATCAGGAAGCCTTTGCGAGCAGAAGGGTTTTCAAAACAAATCGGACAGGGCGTTACGGCCCCGAAGCAGGCAATTGCGATTTCGAAATTTACAGTGGACGACAGTCTTGACGGCGATGACCACTAGATCCGGAAAAAATCCTTCCAGTAGTAGTCGTCGTAGTAGTCGTCGTGGTGGTAGCAATGGCAGCGGCAGCAGCAGTAGTAGTAGTAGTAGTAGGAGTAGGGCTACCGCCCTGTGCGACGCCAAGACCTATCACTATCATTTTTCAGACTTGGTGTTGTCAGAAATTCTGTGTTTTACAGCGTGTGTTCTCGTTGTTGAAATGTTGGAAAGCACTTGTTGTTTTTGTTGTGTGTTGAACCTTGCCCTTCAATCTTGCAGCCAGAAATGCTGGTATTTACAGTTTTTTGGGGTCTGGATGTTCGTGCCCAAAAACACTAGCGATCAGAAGGAAGTTTTTATTTGTCTAATTTGGTGGTCTTGATGTTCATCCAAAGCGTTTGAGAACAGAGCATCCATGCCCAAATCCTAATGTCGTCCATGGTTTAGTGCGTTTGAGAACAGAGCACCCATGCTTAAAACCTAATGACATCCACGGTCGAGTGCTTGTGAGAACAGAGCATCCATGCCCAAAACCTAATGACTACCACGGTCGAGTGCTTGTGAGAACAGAGCATCCATGCCCATCCACGGTCTAGTGCGTGTGAGAACAGAGCATTCATGCCCAAAACCTAATGACTACCACGGTCGAGTGCTTGTGAGAACAGAGCATCCACGCCCATCCACGGTCTAGTGCGTGTGAGAACAGAGCATTCATGCCCAAAGCCAAATGGCATCCATGGTCTAGTGCGTTTGAGAACAAAGCATCTATGCCCAAAACCTAATGACGTCCATGGTCTCGTGCGTTTAAGAACAGAGCGCGGATCATGCTGGCAAGAGTCGATCAAGATGCTGATGATTACATGCTCCGCGACGGGCGTCGTACCGGTGTGGGAAAGGCTAGAAGTAGTAGTAGCAGTAGTAGTAGGAGGAGGAGTAGTAGGAGTAGTAGTAGTAGTAGTAGTAGTAGTAGCAGCAGTAGTAGTAGTAGTAGTAGCTGCCGGTGTCGTTTTCGTTGCCGGTGTAATTCTTCCTCACTTTCGTTGTTGCCGTCGGCTACGGCCATCATTGCGCATATTGCGTGTCGCTTTGGATTGAATGAGAGACGCTCGGGTGGCAAAAGCAAGGCGCTGGCCCTTAACTTTCGGTTTGGCCTATGGCGCTGGCGCTGTTGTTCGCTAAGCTGTTAGGGGTTGCTTGGTTTCATGATTGTTGCTGCTGTTTCTGCTGCCGCATTCGTCACGTTTGCAACATTTCTGGGTCGCTCCACCGTGTTATATTTGAAGGATCCGAGAGGCCGCGGGCAGGCAGATCAACCTGCAATCACAGCCTGATGCTACAGCCTACCGAGCTTGCAGATGCAGGGTCGAAGATGACTCTTCCCAGATGCTTCGGAAGTTTGCACGTGAATTTTTTGTTGTGCAGGAGGCCCAGAAGCATTCCTGGGGCAATTAGGATATCGAGACACAGCTTCACTTTACGTCACTTTTCTGTAGCTTGGTTTCTGACGATGCAATAGGCTATGATGACCTGCGCAGCTGCGAGATCTTTAAATTGTTCGATTCCACGGGATGCTTGCGAGCATGCGGGAGTTGTCAAACCGTCAAGGTGGGAAGCAGGTGCAGAGGAGATTAGCAGGCTTGCAGAACCGGGAATCTGAATGGCCTTTCAATGGCAATTTAAATCCGATTGGCTTTGTTTGCAGCGGCCTTTGCTGTGTGTTCTGAAGCACTGCAGACGGTGGAGGGCCACCGCATTAAGGCAGAGAGTGGCTCCAGGTTCCCAAGCAGATTTAGCCTGGTATGGTCCTCCATAGCTGCTATAGCTATCGACCGCCAGTCAACGAAATGGATTGAATCTGCTTGGGAATGGAGCAAGGGAGTTGCTCTGACCGCGCCTAATCCTCAAATGGTTTTCCGTCGCAGCCCGCGGCAGTTGATTTGCCATGCAAGTCATGTATAGAAGTGCACTACATCGAGTTGTGCCATGTTACACCACACTGCGCCATGCAGAGGTCACGAGGTTCCGTCGCTTGCTGACATTCAGCATTGCGCAATCTGCAACACTCAGTATCAAAGCTCGGGCTGCTAAAACTCGACCGCGTGTTTGAAGACTGTGTGCTTGCCGCCTGCATCATCCTGCGTCCTGACTTGGTGGGCCCTGTCCGCATCATTCCTAAAGACATCAGGAGGCTGTGTCGACATTGGTGGATGCCGACCGTGTCTTGTAAACCAGCTACTCGTAAATGCTGCATGTCGAAGGTGGACGAACCTCTGGTTGGCTCTGCACGTGCATCATATGAGCATCAGCAACTGAACTTGTGAAATAGAGGAGAGCACAGGGTGGAGGCAGCCTGCCATTTAGAGTTTAGAGAAGTGCATCGCACGGCTCTTCACGTGTCTGACAGAGGCTCCTACATCATCGTACGCCGGACAGAGCCCAACGCTAGGGAGGCAATGCCGCGGCCGGCTTTTCGTGTCCATGGCAGGCCTGGCAGCTTCTGCTTGTAGGCGATTAGGATCCCAAGCTTGCGGGTGATTGGGTCACGCATGGTCTTGTTCCTGTTGTCAACGTCACCAGTTTCATCGGAAAACTTGCGTACTGGACATACCTGCTGCCGTCAGCCTCTTGCAGTGGGGTATCCTTTACATCGGTCGCATTCGGGCGGCTAGGCCGTTCCTCGCCATTTGGCTGCGCTCAATGCCTGGAGCAACGCAGACATGTTTGGGCAGGTGCTCGCCACCTGAGCCATGCATGCTGTGCACTTTGCTGGGCCTCCACATCGCTCATGAGCATCATAAGCTACAACAAAGCGGTCCGTGAATGCACAAGGACGGAAGAATGGACAAGAGCTGTGTCGCTTCTGGATGAGCTCAACTGCATGGGCTTGCAGGCGGACATTATTACTTACAACTCCGCTGGCTCTGTTGCATGCTCGTCTGGTGAAGCCTGGCGAGTCGCCCTGCTAATGCTTCGGTGCGCCACCTCATGCCGGGTACGTCAGGATGTAAAAACCTACAGCAGCTCGGTTACGGCTTGTGGGGTGGCCAAGCTGTGGCAAAGTGCCCTTTGTCTCGCAAGCCAGATCCACGTCACTGGCCTTCGCCTTGATTCGATTGCAGCCACTTCTGCCATCAATGCTCTGGAACGTAGAGCCAACTGGCAGCAGGCCATCCTTCAACTGCTTGATTCCCGCAGGGCCAACTGGCAACCATCAGCTTTTGCCGGTAATGCTGTCCTCCGAGCAACTTCAAAATGCCAGTGGAACAGAACCATGCAATGTGTCCTAACTACCTTGCAAGCTCGGGCTCTTTCGGGAGATGTCATCACGTACAACAGCATGATAGAGGCTGCTGATGATTGGAAGCAAGCTATCTCACTTCTGCAAGATATTTGTGACCAAGAATTGCGACCAGACGTGGTTACCTGGAACAGCCTCATAACTGTGTGCTCGCGTGTAATTCAGTGGCAGCGAGCGCTCGCCGTTCTTGACATCATGAACGATGTCATCAAAGCAGATCTCGTATCATTCAACAGCACCCTTGCGGCATGTGGCAGGTCCGGCAAGTTTCAGGAGGCGCTTTCATTATTGGATCGAATGTCGCAACAGGGCATCCAGCCCGACGTGATATCGCGAAGTGCTGTGATGAGAAGCTGCGCAAGAGCGACAGCTTGGCGGATGGCGTTGTTTCTGAGCTCAGCGAGACAGGCGAACATGAATGCCATTGCATTGAACGAAGTTCAGCTGGCTTGTGAAAGAGCGTGTGAATGGCAGCTGTCTCTGCAGCAATTCGAAGAAGCAGAGCATGACTTCAGCCAGTATCTGTGTGTGTGTGTTTGTGTGTGTGTGTGCGCACATGTCATGAGTGAGTCGTGACTCTGCTCAATTGTGCGCCAAGGACTCCGGCGAGAGATGTGTTTCTGCTGATCTGCGGACGTTCAATGCCGTGATCGGCGTGTTGGAAAGCGCAAGCAGGTGGCAGACAGTGTTTCGAGTGTTGCGGTGCATGGTGCTAGAGACGTTGCCACCAGACACTGTAACATACAACGCCGTCGGCACCGCCTGCGAAAAGTCCACGATGTGGGAATCCACTCTGTGGTGCCTACGAGCTGGCAGTATCCAGCCAGACATGATTACCTGGACATCTGCCATTGGAGCATGCCGCGCGTCCTGCGCTTCATGTCGCTGGAAGCGAATGTTGACCTTGATCCGGGACGCTGCCACAGGACACCTGCAGCCGAGCCTTCTGATCTGCGAGAAGGTAGTCAGCACTCTGTGGCAGTCTGGAAAGCTTGCGCAGATGCAATTTCACTTGCCCCGAGCTTGCTCAACAAAGCGAGCTTTCGAAATTTTGCGCGGCGAAGCGGTTTCGCATGTGCGTGTGTGTGTGTCCGCAGAGGAAAAGCATGTATGATAAAAGAGCTCAGGTTGGGAACAAGCAGGGATTGCATTGTGGGCTCCGGCATGTCAGTGGAGGGATCCGGAAGTTCACGGCTCTTTCCCTTGCCCCAATACATCTCAGTACCCCGTGATGATGAGATGCCAGAGCCTTGACTTTTGGCTGCGAGCACATGGCGTAGAAGTGGGGCGCACCGCCAGATCCCATGGGTCTCACGCTTGCAGAGCTCAGTGTGGAAGCTTTTGCTCGAGGCGATCACTCAACCGGGCCCGGGCCACTACCCACTGACAAGGCAGCAGCCGCGCTGCTAAGCGGCCTCTTCTCTCCAGTCGCTTTGCAGTGGAAGACCAAAATCGACAACGGCCTCACGGCCACAGTTTCTGATTCGAAACCACAGCAGAGTCTTGTAGTTGAGGAGTTAGTGCAAAGAGCGCCACAATTCGTGTGTCATGAGAAGCTCCTAAGGTCAGGGCCGAAGTTTCGCAGGACTTGACCTGTTGGCCTCCGGAGTGGGTGCATCTCACGGTCACCCGTGGTGCAGAGGCCACTGCGTGGGTATCTTCGCTTCTGCAAAGGTGAGCAAATGTTGCCATCAGCGCACACTCATTGCGATCCGTCGGATGATTGTTCCATATTGTTCCTACCTTACCCTATCTTATCCTCACTGTCATCCTCGGTCAGTCTCCAATGTGTGCGTTCGCGTGTGTGTGTGTGTGTGTGTCGGATGTGTCGGGCATCGTGCGCAGGGTGTCGACGATGATCTGCGACAGCGCTGTCTAGAGATCAAGGTGCCCTCCAGAATCTTGACCTCAATTAATTGCTTTGGCAATCTATGCAGTCAGCACGTCAACAGGTGTCTATATTCATTCGCGACCATTTGTCAATCTGATGTGGATTTCCGAGGTGTGTTGCCATCGCAACTGGAAAAGATCCTGGCAGGTGCAAGCTTCACAGGCAGTTCGGTAGCATCCGTGGAGTTAACGGCGATCGCTTGTATATTGTGTACGTGATGAGGATGATTTGTTGCTGCTCACCAGGTGCGCAGTGCATTTCTAGTGCTAGCCTACGAACGCGAATAGACCGTCCAACAGCCTCTGTGTGCTTCAAGTCTGGCAAGGCTCGAACTGCGGGGCAGAGGACTGCGAGAGCAAAAGGTTTTCCGATCAAGTGACAGGGATTGCCGTGTTGCTGTGTACTCCAAGAAACCAAAAAAGTGGGTTTGCAAGATGTTGGGTTCTCCATCCAGCATACCCCACATCGAGTTGTGGCTCGAGGGAGCTCCTGGGAGATGGGGGCTGCTTGGCAACCTTGGCCCCCTTTCGCGGAGGACTCAGGACTTATACTGGAGGTCCGATTTCTCCCTCCTACCCAGCGGTAATCGATTTCCAAATTGAACGGTCATGGGATTATCCCCAAAGCGGGAGGCGGGATTGAATCCTCAAGTCAATTGGAATCTAGTGGAGTGCCGCTCGCTATCCTCAAAGTGTGGAGCCGCATTCCTGAAGGGAGACTAGATTGAATTTTCTACCAGTAGGAGTCTCGCTCCATGTGGTGGGGTTCCTTGAAGGGTTGTTTTCCTCTTTAAGATGCCTTGGCGTTTCGCCTGGCATGCTGCCCGATGCTGCCCGATGGTCTTCTTCCTGGGAGTGAGCTACGGGACGTGCGTAATGTGCGTACCGGAAGGATTCGAGCGGAGGCCCTAAAACCTCGTTTCAAGGCACAAACTAGGAAAGCGAAGAACGAGAAGGGGACCCGGCTACGTGCCGTTGGTCTCCCCCTTCTGTTCTGCTTTTAATAGTGCTCTTTTCAAGCCGGGAGCAAATCCAGGAAGTCCTTACCGACCCCTCCCAATGCTTCGGGGTTGGGCCACTTGGGACTGTCCGACGCCAGCCACCCGGCAAGGTGTGTGTGCGTGTGTGTGTGTGTGTGCGCGTGCCGGGCGGTAGGACAGGGTGGGATTCAAACGCAACCCGTCAGAGTCGTCTCGTTGGCCGATGCGTAAGCTGCGACGATTTGAGTGACTTTCCTCTGGAGGAGGCCTCGACATCAAATTTGTCGGACGAGAGCCTTGGTTGCCAGTGAGCCGAGAAGCAAAGCAACGTAAAACAGTTAAACATAGTGACCTTGATTTATACGCATCTTCGCATCTGGGCTGGACTCGGCTGGACGCAAACGGAATTTGTCATGCTGAGGATGGTAGAACTGACGGCCTTGATTCGGCCGAAACTGAGGACGATGGCAATCATCGATCAGTGTCAGGCACAGCATGAGAGTCCTGAATTCGTGCGACCATTTACTGAGCCGGTGAAGAGAAACTGCCTGGCAGGCTCGTGGCATCTCGCAGCCCATGTCGTTGGCGCAGTGGCATCATGCAGTCTGCGGGCACCATGCCCTTTTCAACCTACGTCGCCTTGTCGCAATGAGCACTGGTTTGAAGCTGCAGTTTGGCCCTGACACATTTCCAGGCTGCCTCCTTTCTGGCGATTCCTCCTTTTTGCAAAACGAGACGTGCTTCTGGCGCCAAGCTCTTTGCGACATTGAGCAACTGGCATCAAGGTAAAAAAACTTCGTGCCACTCGCTGTAACCCTGCGTCGCTCTCAAAAAAACGAAACACAGCATAGCTGAGACGACTGGCTCGGCATGGGGAGACCAGCGGCAGCTGGCCCAGGAGCCGCGGTTTGTAACAGCAAACGCCAGCGCTCGTGATCCGAAGTTTCAGGAGCCGCGTCACGGGTGGAATAGCTGACGAAGTGCACCTGAGGTTTCTCGGCACGATGCTAGGGCTCGATCTTGCTGACAGCCATCGTTGGGCATGATGTTTATATACATTGAAAGTTTACATGTTCCCCTGATAAACAGAGGGCTGGACAAGTGCCGTTATCAAGGTTTTGCAGGGAAGTCGCATTCGGCTTGGAACGAATCGGACTAAGGCATTTGGTCAGCACGGACCCTGCTCTCTCCGGCCGGGTGAGTGTGGCCTCGTCTCTGGAGAGTTTACAGGAGAGGTAAGCTCAAGTCACTTCAACACCTCCCCACCACCGAAAGTGTTCGAACCGGAAGGGATGAACGGATGAATTAGCATCAACTGTTTGAAACAGGTGTCGCATACCACTGAAAGAAGAATCTTGTGCTACGTTTGGAACAGATTTGTATTTGCGCTCAGTGTTTTCTTTTCGCAGCAGGAGCAGCTTCAGATGTCCTCGCGCACGCATGGAGTACTTCGGCAGCAGAGCATAGGTCCAGGTGTGACTCTCCCTTTGCTGTGTCCAGTTCATGACAACTGGAGGTCCACGGCTTTTTGCTGGGTGGAGCTACTCACTGGTGCGCTGCTACATTGCCGTGCCTGAAGGGGGGCACGCATGGACCACAAAGTTTGTGGCAGCGCAAAGATAAGAAAATTACACGAGTAAGAGGAAGGTTGAAGACTGCGTAAGCATTGTGATAGCTGCTGTACAACTGCCTTACAGGTACAGCGCTGCAGTTGTGAGCCGAGAAACGCTTGACAGACCAGGCAGGTCCAGCTCCCGCTACTAAAGGGGGTTCCTTTTGCTTTTCCAACTTTGGACGCCCCCGCCCTCCCAGATTGCCTGAACACGGACCGACAACTGTTTTGTGCGTCACGGCTTCGGCAGAGAAATGGAAATCACTACGTAGAACTGCGATGATATACGTATTTGCCAGCCGTAGGATGTGTTCAGCATCAGATCCCTGTGTGAGATGGCCACAACAAGATTTACTTCTTTGACTCCTACAACACGCCACTGGCGACAGTGATATCAAACGCAGATATTGAGTCTATGGTGGAAGGGCAGCTGTGTGTCAGTCGGGCGAGTGCGCTGGATGCCTTGAAGCAGAATCCTGCTTGGGCTCACAAGCCAAACGCTCATCTGGAAACTGCTTTCGAGGAGGGAGTGGAAGAATGGTGGAAGGGGGTCAGAAAAGCTTCTGTATTCTGGCAGCACAAACCACTGGATGTGCGTCGACAACTGATGCGCATGGACTTGCAACTAGCCCGGAGCTTGGTTGGTGAGACTAAGACGGGCAATGGTCAAAGTTACAAGCCTAGTGGCGTGTTTCTGAGGTCAGAGACTTCTTGCGAGTTCTGGCAGACGCCTATTGCTCTTCCTAATGGCTTTGCCTGATGGGTGCAGTGTGTTTGCGGGATGGCAAAAGTCCAGACTGGCCATGTACAGCGGCAATGAACTGGCAGAGAAAACGAATCGGTTCGAGGGACGTGAGCTGCGTTGCTTTAGCAACAGGAGCGAGTCCAACATGACACAGAGCCTTGAGTGAATACTTGCATGGTGCAAAGAAGCACAGCAAGCAGTGTCCGTTCACAGCCTCCCTCCAGAAACCCACAGCTGAGGATCAGAAGAGTGTCCCTTCCTTTGGCTGTCGCGCGTTGGTCCTGGCAGTTACGAAGTTAATGAGAGTCGAGATTTGCCTTGCACTTGGTTCCAGTCCAAATAGCCCAAAACCTTTACAACTCAGTGGCGTTAATTTGCACCTGGACGGCTGCATGCCAAACTCTACACAGACACCTGATTCAGCGTTGAGACGTCACCGAAAGCCCGGATGCGCCGTAAGGCTGAAACCGTGTCAAACCGGAGCTCTGAAAGAGGGCCAGGCCCCAAAATGCGAGCCGAGAGAGGGCACTCCCCACCCCGGAAGCCAAAAACCCTAAACAAAGCACAATGTCAAAGGCAAACCCGGAGGTAAACTCGGACAACCCCAAACTCTGTGCCACAAGCCGAAAGCTGAACAAAAAAGTAAACCCCACCGCATCCAACCGCCCTTGTGTTCCAAAGGCCCGACCGACAGGCCGACAGGCTCATCCTAGCTGAGGAATTTCACATTCGTAGCAGCAGCTGGAGGAGGAGCCCACGAAAAAAAGCAAACGCCCTAACCCCAGACCAGAAGCCCACAGCCAGCCCACGGCCCTAAGGTGATCCAACCCCCAACTGGATGCCGAAAACCCTAAACTTCAAGCTCTAAGCCGAAATCCTTAGGTAGTGAAGCGGGCCCCGAGACCCGAAGGTGCAATCGTAAGGCCTCCGTAGACTAAAGTGGAAGTCATTTTCCTTGAAGGCATCGCCGGAAGCACCTAACTCCAAGCCGGAAGCTTAAAACCATAAAGGGCCGAACACATGCCAACCCTACCCCTTGCACCAGAAACCCAAGAAGTCAAATAGAAAAGTGTTTCTGCGGCGGAGTTGAAGCGCGCCAGGAGCAAACCTTAGCGAAACTTTGAGAGATTTTGAGAGACAGAACCCGTCTTTAGGGCGCGGGTTTTTAGCAGCTTTGGGGTTCACAAGTGAGGCCCAAGTCAGGGCTCAAGTGAGGAATGCGCATTGCAGGTGGTGAAGCACACCGATACTCTGAATCAAGGCACGAAGCGGCTGTCTCCGTAGCTACCTACAGTAGAGGGGAGGGAACTTTCTGCCGAGAAGCAAAACTTGAGCACATAGTCGCCGCATCGCGAATGCGGCCAAACCAAACCCCATCGACAATCGAAAAGACCCGCGAGGTGCAGAATTTCGATTCTTGGCCTAAGCGCCTTGCATGTTTATCCACATGCTGGGACATACTCAGTGCGAGATACTGCCAGGTAGCACATCTGCCACAAGGCTTTGTGTCGTTGGGAGTTTGCACGGTTTGCAGGCGAAGACCTTGGTTAGTGAGCTCCGCGCTCTGCAATCTGGTGAAGCTCGACCTGGTCAAAAGAACTTGGAAAGGAAGTTTCACTTCGCTGTGGCAGTCCGGGGAGCGATAGTTCAGTAATTACTCAAGGCTTAAAATTGGATAACTATGATAAGATGATATGTGGTTGTCCAATCCTAGATTTTTGCAGTGCGAGAAAACTGCTGTCTCCGAGCTCTTGATTATTCTTGATTGTAGGCGCGGTTCGGCCCAGAGCGGGCAATGTGTTCATGTCCATCCTTTGTGATCGCCTAGGCCTAGACTAAGCGGGCACATGCTGGCTGTCTTACAGAAAGTCTTGCAGCAGTTCGGGCGACATCACACAAGACCTTCAGCAGCAAGTTGACGGAACTGTAGAGCGGTGCTGTCTGGATGCGCTTGGACGTGAAGGATGAGGCGCGAGCGTCTCTTCTGCCAAGCGTGCGACCTGTGTGCGCGAGAAAGGTGTGGCTCCAAGACTCCAACGGAAGGCCTTCGTCCAGCGGTGACTCGCAGCTTTCCTAACAGTCAGTCTCTGCGTTTCATACTCTGCAATGAGACGACGGACGAGACTGTCCCCACTTCCCCCCTGCACTTCCCGCCGAGGCCTGGAGCTGAGAGAGGAGATCCAGGAGACTGCAGACACGGCCACAGTCCGGTCTCTCTCTCCCTGTCCTTGCGAAGGAGCAGCTGGATGCTTTTCGACAGCTCGTCGTTGAGGCTGCAGTGTGTTGCCTGCACGTCCCTGACCTCGCCTGAAAAATGCGCACCGACCTGCAGCACCGGCAGTCCTCAAAGGCCGACGGGCCACTTTTCTCAGCATACGAAGTCTCAGCAATGGAGGACAGTACGAGAAGCCCGTCCAAGGCTTTTCGCCTGTTGGGCCAGACCTTCAGTCACACCATTCTGAACATACTCGTATGTTCTTCGCTCAACTTCGATCCGGGCTCCTCAGCCGTGCCTTTCAAAATCTCGCACGGAGAAGCTGTGAAATCATGAGCTCACGGAAGTCTTAGTGCCTCAGCCACGTCTAGTCCGCAAGACAGAGGCATGGTCGGAAAGGCTGATCTTTGAGGGCTTGCTGAGTCCGGACAGCGATCCATCAAAGATCGACCAGTCACTTTGGCAGTCGCCCAAGCCCAGAATGATTTTCAAATCCCAATCCCTGGGGGAGCGCAGGGGAAGTCCTTGCTTGACCCAAGGCGCAACGATTGGGCGAGGCTTAAAGGCAATGGAATAGTACATGTTGAAACCGTTGACATTACAAGGCCACTGATCGATAAGCTTGGGCTGACTGTCAAAGAACGGCCAGCCTTTGCCAGGCAAGGCAAATCAAGGGCTGGCAGCATGTGCACCTCGGCTCAGTCTTGTGCTGAACAGATGTGGGCCTGCGCAGCGACGAGCACACACGAAATCCGCTGAAATCCTTTGGCGGGAGGAGCGGTAATGCATCGCCAGAGTAATCGAAAGAAGCGAAGCCAGATGGCCTCAAGAGCGATCTTCAGCCAAAGTCCACAATTGAGGTCTTCCGAAATTCTCGAGCTGGTGAGTCATAGCTCACTTTGCAGGAGCGGAGCTAAGCACCAGACGATCCAACAAAAGCCACAGAGGCCGCGACTTCTCCACACCTTGCATACATCATCATGCATTGTGCAGGAGTCCTCATTGAACCAGCACACCTGTGAACGTCACTACCTACTCACTCGCAGACTCCTCAACATAGCAGGACATCGGCGTGCGATTGCAGGATGCCCTATCGTGGACGTCTCAATTGCAGGGGCGTGGGCACTGTAGACTCGTAGATGATTCATGATGATTCATGCACCAGGCCAGGCTAAGCTGCTGAGCTCTTGCTTTGCTGTCGTGTTCGAATTTTAGCGTCCAGATTCGAGTTCACCTATTGCCGGCTGAGGATGCCGTCAGCTCCACCATGGCAGGCCAAACCCCACAAGCCAAGGACAGCATCTGCAAATGTATCCAGCTTCAAATTTTCTGCCGGGACATCTTGAAAACTGACGGACTCAGATCACCAAACACGAGATGCCGTGCTTTGCTGGCCATGGCCCTGCCAATGCGATTCCCGCCTCATGCTACAAGCTTCATCACATGTCTGGTTTTTCGCTGAATAGCTGAGCGAGGAAGTCCGAGATCTTGGCTCGCCCTCCTGAGCTGACAAGTCCGGAGAGTTGCCTAGAAGATGAGGAGACCATTTTGCATATCTGGCAAGCAGATAGGGCTGAGGCGAAGAGACTAAGATCCTGTCCGCGATGGTTTGCAGGGCCTTGTTTCTGCGTGTTTCTCGATGGAAACGGTATGTGCGGAATGGAGAGTCCTCTTAGTCTAACCGTGGAACAATGGTGGATGGAAAACATATTGCCCCACCTTTTACTAGCTTGTGACATCATGTGAGGGTGATGGATCATGGGGGGTGTTTACGATACTCGTCATTCAGCCTGCGGCGTTTCCCAGTTCAAAGACACTCATATTAAATATGGATACTTGGAGAGTTTCCAGGTTAGTTCTGACTAGCAGAGGAGCCCTGTCATGCCATCGTTGCGCGCGTGTTGTTGCTATGAGGACATGGCAGAGATCACGAAGAAGGGCTTCAGGCCGGCGGAAAATGCAGAAGACGCTGTAGACGCCAGCTCTATCGCTTCAGGAAGAATATTGAGTCGACTGCAGCTGCAGCGATGGCGAGATCCCCAGTATGCTGTCACGCACAAGTCCTGCGCCGTTCGAAAGCCAAGGAGTTGATCCAAAGCCGGAGCCGTGGCGAGTATTCCTTGGTGTCCGGCGAGTCCATCGAGGCATTGCTCCAACGAGCCATGCGTACCACTGCGTACATCTTGGATTCAATGCGCTTCACACTCGCTATGAATTTTGTGTGAAGCCAGAGCCTTGCAGGATGCTCTGATGGCAGACAGCGCAGGCCCTGACTCGTCTCAAGTTGGCACAATGGATGCGTTTTCAAGTCTGTGAGACTGCGATGTACAGCTTCAATACGGTAGGCTCCTGTCGGCTGCGAATAATTCGAGCATACAAAGGCATATGTTGTGCGCTTGTTTCCAGTTTCAGCTCAGGCTTCCACTTCTGAGCTTGGCACCAGGTAGTCGCATCGGATGGGATATGATGAAGGATTTGTTGAGCACAACTGTTCGGAGTTTCTGGAAGAACATTGCGCCCGTAGCCCCAGCACAGGCCCGTGAAAACCAATCGCCAGTGTGTCAGCTGCCCGCGATAGGTCATCTGCAGATGAGGCCAGGCCAGATGACGAATATCAGACGCCGGCGATCAGACAGAAGACAATCGACGTTCCGAGAGAAGTGTTAGGTGTCATGGTGCGTTTAAGACAGAACGGGAGAACAGGCGGGGAAGTCAAGGCTGGACCAGTTCATTTGCATGATTGCTAGGGTTCTGCTTGCTTTATCCCTGAACCTGCCTCCCCTCACAGTGCTTGGTGCACTTCCCTGCGCTGGACCTTGTGGCATAGAATCTTCTGGATACCGTGTGTTTGTTTTCGTTTTACATGTTGCCTGCTACCCACAAAGGCAAAGGTAACGGACCTTTCAGGAGTCTGTCGTGCTCAACATTCAACAAGGATTTCTTGGGCATCTAACACGCCGATGCGATTTGTAAATAGCAAAGCTTGCATGGCAACATGCTTGTCTGGTGCATCTGCTGGAGTCGGGCAGTGCCGCTTGGCAGCTTGCAGGCATCAGCTTGTGCCAGATTCCGACAGAAAGTGGCTCGAGGAGACTTGCTTGAGTTGGTGCGAGGTTCCTGCAATGTAGGCTCTTTGCGTTGGTGCAAAGCTTCAGTCGTCCCGGCTCAGCGGTGAACAAGCCGATGGTCTTTCCTGTGAGAAGGACAGCGAAGTACCATCCTCCTCAAGCTGGGCCCTTATCCGGACCAGCTCGCCCTGGGTCTGCCTTGGAAAGGACCTGGGTCGGCTTAGAGTGCTGAGGCCGGCAGCTTTGCTGCGCCAGGGGGACATCGGTGCCACGCTCAGGGAATGGAGTCGGCGGGGAAACGTTCGGTGAGAGCCAACAGCGAGCACGACTCTCTATTCTGGGAAGGGATGCGCCGTCATCCGGCCACATCGCTGTGTGAGCAGATGATGAGGGGACGCCATACACAACCTTCCGAGCATCTGCCTGTGGATTCCATTTGCTAAAAAACAGTCCGCACTTCTTCCTCAACCATGCGGAAACCGATGACTCAGAAACGAAAAAAAAGCCATGCAAGAGAATTCACCAATCTTTGGGTACAGCCAAAAACATAGCCTACGGCGAGTTTCACCAAGCCAGAATGAGCTAGTCGCTTGTTTCAAGATGCTGTCATCCTTTGGAAGCTCACAATGCCAGACATGGCATGAAAAAGTACTGTGAGCGAAGGCGCAAACAGAAACTGTGTCTCTCGCGACAAGGAGAGGTTTTGCTGTCGGCCCACGTGTGAAACCTCCGAAGACTCTGATGTGTAGGAAATTTGACCTGATTGGCAAGCATTGCTGATCATACTACCAACCAGGGCGAATTTCCACAAGCCAAGGCTGTCAAACGCCCAGAGCTCTTTACCTTGAACCCCGAGGCCAAAGTGCACCATACGTCACCACGTCACCTTGTGAGGTCTTGCCAGAGACGCTGACATCAAGGCTCTGACCTCGGAGCCGTTGAGTCACAAAGATCGCGCAAAGAAAAGGTGTTTCGCCAACTGCATTCAGAGACTGCCACCCAAGTTATGGCGGCAGCAACCTTCTCAAATCCTCTACTCGTGTCTCCGTCACAAGTCTAACTTCTGGCCGGACTTAACAGACTCTGCATGCCACTTTTGCAAGAGTGTCGCGCAAGCACATAGAGCGAGATGGAAGACCTCTCTACACAGATCTCTTGTAATTTCACCTGAGGATGGGAAGTATTGTGGAGTCAGACGAGTTCGGCTATGCCGGCCTCCTGGACTCTTTTCTGAGCAGCAATGCAGTTCCTTATCGCCGACCCGGACCCCGTCGCTGGAACCATATTCTGTCGGACTGATGCGCATCACGTTCATGCAAGAAGAGGGACATATTCTTGCGCCCAGGCCATCACCGCACTTGTCATGGTGAACGCGATCCTTATTGGCTTCGAGACTGACTACACGGCCTGCTGCACAAGCTAGTTAACCCAAAATATCCCAGAATACAAACGACGGAGAAGGAGAAAGCAAACTTGCGAAGCGATTAAGCGATATCAAGCGTGAGTGTAAGATCTTGTAATGCGTTGGGGGCATTGATCGGGAGCTGAGATAAATCGCGTTCCAGGACCTTGCTGATCTGCCTCGTAGGGCTCCATGGAAAACCCTGAAGAAAGAATTGCTGTTTCTATGCCTTTGGGGTTGTGTTCAACTTCCTGGAAACAATTAGTTGCGTTTAGCCGGAGGTGTTGGTTCCTGAGCATTTCTGTCGTGCCAGGTCGCAGCCGCTGTCCGATTTATGTTGTGCTGTTGTGCTTGCAATTTTGCAGCTTTTCCAGATTAAGAACGTTTGCCCATTCTGGGCCTTCAAAAGTCCCTCCAAAATCGTAAGCCCACCGCGTCAGGCCTTCCAAACGTTGAGATTTGTGGTCATTTTGGGCCAGCCAATCTTGGGATTGTTTGCCATGTTGGGCCCTTCCTCACCCCGCCTCGGTTTGAAAAAACCCATATCTGGTCCATGCCAGGGAGTTTTGGCCATTCTGGGAGAACGGGACTCCGAGTGGGCCTGGGCCGCATGCAAGCAGGCAGTAGCGTTTGACGCCACGGCGCAGGCTCGGCATGGAGGCGATCAGAAGATGCCTGGCTCGAAGATATTGGGACGCGTCTTCTGCACCTCGGCCTTGATGGAGAACCAGTTTGGGTGTTCCGGAAGCTCGCGAGGTTTCAAGTTGCTGTCATGCATCTGTTTGCAAAGCATTTGCAGTTGTTTAAGCTTAGTCTTCTTTCCGAGGAGAAGGGGATGCTCATGTTCACATGATGTGACATGCAAGGGCACGGCGCGAGTATGCGCGAGTGCTTGACGGATCGGTGAAGCTGCTAAGCGACCTTGTCACCAAGGCTATATCTTCACAGCAGAAGTTGCCATGAGGCATTGCCTTAGCTTCCTGTTGGTCAATGTACTTCATGTCTTGAGACGTCCAGGTCCAGTTCATCTGAGTTGTCGTGTCTCTGATGCCACATTTGGAATGGTTATGGGTCAACCGCCAACCTACCAAACAAGGCATCAATCTCTTAGACGAAAGACGGCAGACGCCAACGGTGGCATGTGGATGCTTCGGCGGCGAATGGAAGTCTGCAACTTGAAAGTGCGAAAAAAGAAGGCAAGTGTTCCTTTCAAACTGAGGGCTCGGGCTCGGATGACTGCCGGCCAGAGTGTTCAACTGGGCGAGCCTGAGCATAGTCAGGCAAGCGACAGGACAACAAGGAAGTTGGGAAGATGTTGAAGTCCGTAGGTTCTTGAACCAAGACGAACCTCATCCGGCGTGCTGCATTCGTACAATGTAGCTGTTTATGATTTCGCCACTCATGCTATTCCAAGGTTTGATCATTTTGCGATGTTTGATACCACGGCTCTCGGCACCCTTGGAGACATGTTGTGCCGTGAAGGGTCTTGGTCCTGGGCGTCCGGAACTTTTTCACGGGCAGTGGCTGGAGGCAGCACAGGATGCAGCTATCTGAAGCCACCCGATGCCATAGGTAGGCTATGAGCCAGACAGGAAACAGTCCCAATTCATTGCAGCGAGTTTTTGAGAGTGCAGCCACGCAAGGTATCCCTTTGTTTGCACTTTAGCTGTGCACTGTGGGAGCTCCTGCGCTGATGCCGCCATATTGTGGTCAACATTCTCAACATGCAGCTGAAACTGACTGAAGCATCGCCACCGATTTTTCTAAAAGCACATTCCAGGTAAAGCATCGCTGGATTCTTATTTAGAGCAGCATTTTTGCGAATGCATCTGCTGTTTGCGTCGTTCAATTCGACTAGCAAGATCTTGTCCTGAACAGCTTGCAGGTGGAATCTCTTCGACTTTCTCGTGGTTGGCTTGCAATGGGCAGAGGAGGTGCTTGCCATGTGGGACGCGGCTGATGTCAACTGTTTGTTGCATTGCTGTGCCGTCTTCCACGCCCAGAGAACTCGACGTTTGGAGGTTGTTGACTGGATTTCTGTCGGCACGGGCCGTGGCCACGACCGGCGCTCAGTCAGACTCTGCTTCAGTTGAGCATGCCACACAAAATCCACGACCGTCCTGCCACTTTATGCAGGCGTTACCCTGCCACCAGCACGCCTGTTGACAGCGAGTAAAAACCAGCAATAATCGTTTTCTAGATTTTCTAGCAGCTGCCGGCAGATGCTATGAATGCATCAGCGTCGCAAACACTATTCGATGTCGTCAGCAAGCGATGAGATCAGATGGAGAACGATGCACTATGTCTGATGTCAGACCTGGAGCTCAAAGGGTGCAAGGCCGGCATGCAAGATGGCACGATAGATCGCGGAAGGGTGCTCAGATATGTCGGTCCTGACACATCATCTTCAACTTGTGTGGGCTCCGGGCGGGGATGTCCTTGGCAGGGATCCCAGCACAAGACCTGGATTCCTTTCCAAAGAAAGACTCACTCACACCTCGCCCCATGGCGCGTCGTTTTCTGCTACTTGCAGAACCCTCCCTTTGCACCCTAATTGGTGGTGATGATGATGCAGGCCAGCTTGCATACGCAGGGCACGAAGTGCTTGCTGTGACTGGAAACATGCAGCCTGCCTCCGGGGTTGTGGAGTATCCGCGGAGTCATGTTGCCCGTAGCGACATGTCTTCCATGTCTTCCCTTTCCGCTTGGATTCGCTGATTTGACGCATCAGCACTGCTGACGAAACTGGGAGCTCTGCCTGTTGACAATGCCTGCGTCCACGGTTGAGTGATGCTTGGTAGGGAGGGGCGATTCGATCGTCTCCTGATCCGTCTCTTAGCCGGGAGCAACGGAAGAGTAAACCAATCACAACTAATCGTGTGCGACGTGCTCCGGATGCGCAGGAAGTCCCACCGTGTGAAACGTCGGACATGTTTTTTCCAAGCCGCGCCATTGACAATGTCAGGTACTGAACTTGGGGTTCCTGCGCATTCTCAGGACTTTGCGCTTGGGCCTTGCTTTCTGTTGGAATGGCTCAAATCACATGAATAGGAGTCAAGTCGCCGACTTTGAACTGTGCTGAAGATAGAATTAAATTTGACGTGAGGTGTGGTTCGCATCATGCGCCTTGCGCGCATCCTACACTTGGTTGTGGAGCTCCGTGACCCAGCAGCAGTCCCGAGGTAGACGTCTTTGTGTAGGTCTAGCCCTCCCGCAGCTGCCATCAGGGTCCTTCCCACTCTCTGGAATGTTGGAGGGTGCCTAGACGCTTGCTTAAGAAGGCAAGCGAGAAATCTTAGCAGGAGTCCCAGCGCTTCTCGACAAGGTACCATGGTCTCCTCCATCGTGGCATCGTTGAAACCGCTCTTTTGGGCTACACTGCTTTTCTCCATGCTCATCTACGCAGTCGCCGTCGCGATGACACAGATGGCGATTGCCTCGGCTGTTGGAGCTTCTTGGGATTCGGCCCAATGGTCTCCAGTGCGAGAGGGTTCTGAGAGTATTACAAAGACTGGCGTACCGGCGATTGCTCAGAACTGCACAAGCCTCCCCGTACGCACGATGCAGGTGCTAGGCTTTGAATCGAGGTTACCGCTCGAAGGGCCTCCACAGGCGTCTCGTCCGCTGCGAGTCTCCACAGGCCCTAGCTGCACGTATGCATGCACCGTGCGTGTTCCTCAAAATGACGCGGAAGTTGGCGACTGCAAGCAAGAGCGAGAGAGGGGGACTCGTTCCCCTTACCCCTAGCCCTGGCGAAAAAAATAAAAGAGAGAACTGAAAAAATGGAAAGGAACGCGTGACCTGACAAGTCCCTCAAGTCATGGAGAAGAAGTGTTTGTGCGCGTGTGTCTATGCGATCCTGACAAGTCCCAGATGACATTTAGGTGCATGCACCCTTCTAGTCATCCTTGTATGACTGAGCGAGATAGCCATGCCCTTGACTTTATTTGCCTCTGTTTCTTAGAGTGTGATTGGAACACCAAATGCGGGTTTTGATGGAATCTCTTCAACTCTGAGCTCGCATCGTGAGAGCAACGAACCACAAGAAACTTTCTCACAAAGATTTGATCATTATTGTTCCGAGATATTCCAATGCTGCTGACATATGCGTAGAACGTGCTCCGTCTGGGTCAGCCAGGCAAATGAGTTCCGGGCAGAGAATCGCGGCGTGGATACCGAGTTGAACAGGCACGACGGTCGCGATTCCGTGCTGGCAGAGTGTTGGTTTGCCAGCCGCTACCAGGTATTTCAGCAGCTTGGGCACAGCGGCCTTGGCGCTGTGGGAGTGCATTTCCGGTGGGATGGACTGGCAGGAGCCAACAGTGAAACGAAGAGTCTCCCCGAACTTGGGCAAGGAATTAAGGTGACTGAAGCGCTTTTGAGACGAGTCCTTCTTGGAGGACCTCGCGCAACCGATGATTGAGAATGTCTCCCCCATCATGGGCCTGTTTTTTTCTGCATATGCTCCTGGGCCTGCAAGACTCCAAGCGCTGTCTGTTAATGTTGTCGCATCTGATCACTGGTGTATCCAATGGCTTGAACGATGTTCCGTGTTTCTCCAGGCTATGTGTACAGCTGTCTGTGATTCTCTGCGACCGAGCTAGATCTTGCTCATGTTGCGTGCGCAGACTGTGTCAAGTCTTGCCTGAGGTTGCCTTTTCGATGCTGGCAATGATGAACGTCATCACAGGCCCGGTTGCCCAATCAGCTTCCTTCAATGCCGTCGCCATCTGACCAAACAACAAAGTATGTGTTCAGGCATTTTTGTGGACAATGCCAAGACCTATGCACAGCAAGATAAGGACAGGAACGAGTCTGCAAGTCAAACCCTGCACTTTCTCAGTGGCGGCTTGAAGCGTCGACCACCTCGTTCAAAGCATGTAGGAACTCTTGCGATCTCTCGCGGCCTAGGGACTGTCGGTATGTGGCCATACACGTGTAACAGCGACAATTCGTCACACCTTCAATATCCTGGAGCTACAGCACAGCTGCGGTTACAACTCCCCGGAGCTACCGCTCAACAGCTAGCAGCGCGATGCAGCGCGGAGTTTCAGAGGACACCTTTGTCGTGCGACACGTGCTCAATCTCTTCAAGCAGAGCAATTTGGGCGAGTCCACTGCGATTGATTGGATTGTCGGCACCCGAGCGAGCATCCTCTCCAGGTTTGCTTGAGCGATGAGTCGCAGCCGTGAAGCTGTGTTGCTTCTTAGTTCCCCCTCCGTTTCGATACTTCCAGTGTTCCTTGTTGGGTGAATGGCTGAAAAACGCAGTCGTGAGGCACCGGGTGTAAGTCGGTAAGAGTACAGCGTTCCAGCTTGCCAGGTTATTTCATTAAATTCGATTGCTTGGAGGGGGATCGGCAAAGTCCACAAGCACTTCAGTCTGCTGCAGCCCCACTGAACTTGGGCAGGACTTCCAGGCGAAACTGGATACGCGCGAGCTACAGGACCGCGCAAGCAAGGTTTGACTCAACAGCTTCATGGCTGCCTGTGATGTTACCGAGCACTGCAACACGGTGCAAGTGAGAGCATAATGTGTGTTTAACAATTCTCGTTGAACGCGTGGGGGCAAGCAGGAGCAGCACGTGATGTTGCATGATGTTGCATGTATATACCAGGATGTTCTAGCCTAAGCTCTGCGTCCGCCGTTGAATGCTAGCGAAGCCGTCGTGATGCAGAGTATTGGCCTCACCACAGAACTCTAGCTCTGATGTGAAAGTGTGAAGCTGCTGTACATTTGCAATGTTGTGTTTCCGAGCTGTACGTCAGCACGGAAGACATACTTGCGCTTCAAGAGGGCACAGGTTCAGGTTTTCAGGATATTACATATTACGCTGTGCATGGTTGCGTCCATGTCTGCCTTTGAGAGCATCCCCCTTCAACTCTCATTTGCGGGGAGCAGGGCATGGATTGGAGGCATTTTACTCTGGCATGCAGGAGCTTTTTGCCGCAGTGGAGGTCGACGTGTGGGCCACCTACGGACTTTGCGCCGTTGTTGGCCATGCTGTGTAGAAGAGTCGGTTGATGAGTGTTTCTTCGTGTTCTGAAGCATGCTTCCTGATTTCGAGGGCAGATGCGAGGAGTCTATTCAAGCGGGGCGCTTGGCGAGCCTTCACACTGTCACTGGCCCGTCGTTAGCATGTGGTGGAGCGGTATGTTCTACTTGCCCAAGGAAATTTGAGCGTGCGCCGTCTTGCGCCCCGAGGAAGACTTACTAAGGTTACATCGCGCATGCATGCATGAAGAGGGGGCCCTTCCAATCTGGAGCCAGACATCCAACCGTAATCTGAGTTGCTTGCCGACCCAGTCAGCTCGGATGACGAGCACGTTTTTGAGATCGAGTGGTCGCATCAGCATGCATCAGCTACATTGCTATAATGAAATCGGATCCTCGTTGAGTTGTACGAGGTGGCGCTGCTCCGACCCGTACAGTACGTGCATGTACATGCCCTTTAGCATGAGCTTACCTTTGTGGCTCTCCAGCAAAGTTGGCCCGGCGGCATGGCCAAAGAAGGCCCAGACCTGCCCACCCAGGAGATATGACCAAAGAAAGGAGGGCTTCACTGGGACGATGGAAGGTGATTTCTGTTGGCGTATGACTGTCGGATGTATTGGCGGTGGGAACGGCTGTGAGTGGCTGATGTTGGCTGTCCATCAAAATCGAATCTTATGGCTTAGCTTGATCGCAGGTGAGATTGCGTTTTGGCCGTACGACGCGAGCATGCGAATGCAGCGCGGCTTAGCACGACACGTTCTTTTGACATGTTGTGCACGCAGAAGTTTGGGCTGAAAACATTTCGCTGCTGCCAGCTTTGCTGGGGCCCCATTCCCGCGGATGATTACCTGCGGGCAGCGGGGACTACTTGATGAACTTTAGCCGGTGTGGGTGGAGGAGACAACAGTCAGAGGATTGCGACAGAGAGACGAACATTGAAGGTGGAAGGAGTTGATGAGGTTTTTGCATGAACATTCGCGGATTCTGCCAGACTGTTGGTCTCGCACATGTTCCTGAATTGCTTTGCATCATGAATTTCCAGTGCGATTCGGCGTGTTGGCAGGCTTATTGATACGGATAACAGCGGCAGCGTTACGCCAGAGGAGTGTGCTCCTAAGTTGCCAGGTTTTAGAACCGTGTACCGTGTGCCAGTGTCCGAGAATGATCGGAGGAATTGACGTGTGACGTGAACCGCGATCAGCGAAAGGAATCTCAGGCTCAAGCAGGAAGACGAAGGTGTCCCAACAGAAAATCTGAAACGAACAAAGCTCCTTTCCTAGGATTGCTTTTTTTTGAGCTCTGGAGGCTGATGAGGGGCTGGCTGCGTCTCCAGGGCCCGGCGAAGGTGCGGGATTTTTCGAATGCTCGTGCAATGGAAGCACTTTTCGCGTCCCGAAAGGCATTGGACTTGGCTTTGTTGTTGCGCGACTGCACCAGAAGCTTTGACTCCATCCACAGGCCTGCAAACGTGAGAAGGTCGCAGCACATGAAAGCATCGCACGAATATCACCTGACAATGACAATGCTGTAATTCCTGCTTTCTCGGTTTGGTAAGTTTGGCAATATTTAGCATTATGAATGGTTCGTTGTCTCGCATTCTCTCTGCTGACCCTCGGTGGTCCTGCCATGTCCTGCCGGGATCCAAATCGATTGTCACACATCCGTTCAGGCTGCTTCAAAAAGGACGCTTTGTAGCAGACAACATCAGATTTCTCCTGATACTTCAGGACTCCATGCCTCGAAGATATCTCTTGAAAGCCAAGTCAGCACGAAGCGGCAAGTCTCGGGACGATCTTGGAGGCGAGGGCAGAAAAAGTCAACTGGCGCCAAGGCCGAGGACGCTGAATTCCGATGCAGCCCACAATGTCACAATCTGACCAGTTCCCTCCAAACTGTCGGAAGGGACAGGTAGTTCCTTTCAAAGCTAAAACTGCAGCGGCCTGACAAGAGGGGTCGTCGCACGTCGCACCATGCCGGTCAGTGATGCACTGCTCAAATCTGCTCCGCACAAGACCGCCACTCTGTCTGCCGGAGGCCGCCACCGCTCTCCAAGCATCTGAAACGAAAGTGCAGAAGTGCTACAAAGACTTCCGTGTGCTTCATCATGGTTGTATTCTCTAACCTTGCAAGTTGGCGGTATGTTCTCACGGTGCTGCACCGTTAGAAACTCTGGCCCACTGACCCAGGGCTCGCAACATCACTTTCCTGCGCCTCTGGCTGTTGTATATAAGTCTTAATTGTGCTAATGCAGGAGGCGGGGTGAGCACTTTTGTCTCCGGTGCATGCTCGTACTTATGCATCAGATGGCCAACCGCTTGTGGGCACTGCGACATGGGGACTCGAAGTGGCTTTTTGCCAGCTTGCGCTATTCAGGCAACTGCATGACCTTCGTGTGGGTGTGTCGTGGCTTCTCCGGTCAATGGCCCGGGCCTTCGAGACATGCAGGTAGGATGCAAACGACATGGACTTCGCAGGGACGTGACTTTAGTGCTTTTGTTTGTGCTCTTTTGGCAGAGAGACCTGCTGAGGAAACCAGCTTGTTCCCAGATGATCCTACCTCTCCGCAGCTTGAGTGCCTCGCCTTCGTGGGGAAGGTTCAGCAGGGCATCGCTTCGTCTTTTGGGTAGCACGTGCAATCTCAGAAAATCTCGCAAGACTTCCGAAGTTTTTGCAGCTGAGGCATGCCCCGGCAGATCTGCTCCAAGACCCTGTCAGGCCGCTTGGAAGCTAGTAGAGTCGAGGAGAGGAGTCGGACAACTCCAGGTGTCACGATGTCACGATTCACGTCTTATCTACTCCCACCTGTAGTGTCACCTTTCGATCTTCGAGTGGACGTGGTGCCACATCTTATCACGGGTCGCACTCAGGTCTTTCACCTTGACGCCCGATCCCAGTCCAACGCCAAGGCGCAACGGCTCAGTGCTAGATTTCAGTGAAAAGTCCGGGGAAGCCAGGGAGCTTCTCTGAAGGCTAGGCTAGACAATGCTAGATGGGTTCATGGCCATTGCGCATCACCTGTGTGGAGGAAAGGAAAGCTCCGACCACCATCTCCTGTTGGCTTTCCCAGGCGTGTCGTATACAGCCTTGCGGTTCCTTGCGGTGCAGTTGTCCTAGCACTGCCCAGTCCGCGGTTGCCTGGATCGCGGAACTCGGGTTTCGGCCTTGAACGGCAGGGAGCATGGACACGACCCATGAGCTGTGCTCTTGTGTTCTGGACCAACTGTGCTCAGGGAGCGAGGACGTGATGGACAGAACTATAAATACGAGGCCAGGGGAGTTCTGAGTGCAAGTCAAAAGAACATGCAACCCAGCTTTTTGTCAGCTTGACCGCTTGCTACACCTTGAAAGAGTACAGTATATCCAAGCCATGGCCGTCGCCGCATCTGTAGCTTGACAGCCCTGGTCGTTTGTTGCCGCTGCTTGCCTCTGAGGTTTTGCCGCAAAGCTGATCTCGGCCGCAGACTTTAACCAACCACACTCGTAACATGCAGTATCCAGCCCGCACGCAAAAGAGCGTTTGCCAAGCTAGAACCATCTGCAGAATCTATTGCCTTTGGATACCGCAGGCTCCGAGCTCGCAAACCCCAGGCTTCAGACCCGTTGCATAGGACATGTTCATGAAAAGTTTCGTTCTGCCACGAATGGTTTATGGTTTGCGAGCGCGGGAACCTCGTCTCAGGCTTGTTAACGACAAACTGCCGGACCCAGCGGTAGGACATGAAATTCACGTTGCCCAGCAAATGCAAGGCATCGTGCGACGGCCAAGCGGTCCCCACATTGTCTCGCGAGTCACTTTTGCATAACTAAACATGCTGTTTGGCCATGTTTGGCCTTGGTGCGAAGGTGCGAGCATGAAAGACTCTAGAACCTCTGCTTCGTCTGTTTTGCCTCTTCAATCTGGGGATTCGGCCGATTTGGTTTGAGTGAACCCAAAACGGGAACTCTTTCCTAATTTTGTCCTGGCACGTGCGTGCCGTGCGTGCCACGGCCTTGCAGTTGATTTCAAAAAGTGCGGCGGTGTATAAAGTACAGCACTATGACGACCGCGTGTCAACATGGACCCGTCACCAACCTCTGATGCCTAGACAGCTTGCACTCCGAGATTAGCTCATGCGCAGGTCGAGGGCTGACACGACATGAGACGACTCCATCCCATGCCGCGCTCGGTTGCTTTCAAGCCCGTTCGCTGACAGTGCAAAGCATATGTTCAGAGCTATCGGTAATTTTGGGGTTACATTGCTGGCATTGGTAGCAGCAGCACTATGAAGCTACAGTCCGAACCAAGATCGAAATCGAAGCGTTACTTGTGCTACTTGCACAGCATAGGTAGTGCGTTGACTTCTGCTGGCTCACGCTTCCGGTTCACATTATGGGCTGCTGTATGCCAATACAGGGTCCGCCCCCATGCGTGGCAGACAACAGATGCTTCCGGCGGTGGGTACTGTTCATCGAATGCCCTAAAGCATTTGTGAATCAGGGTTTAGTTTCCTGAGGTTGGGATTTGTCGCAGCTGAAACGGCCAGAGCAGCTCAGGATAGACCGGATGATCGAGCAACTGAGCCAAAAACGCCCGGCAATTCTTTTTGTTGCTTCTGCAGGCTTTACGTTGAAGGAAGTTGGTGAAGTGGTTTCAGCGAGGTATTATGCCCTGACAGAATTCACCCAGACTCTCACACATCATCTACGAACTGAAGCAGTCTTGCCAACATACCCCCCCTCTCTCTGCCAGGCTGCTGAATTTCTTTGCGACATCGATGTATTGCCTGGAGTCGTACAAGAGCATGGTGGACAGCAAGACCACGCATGAGAGCAGAACACGAGGTGTCGGGGTTTATGATTCCCTGGATACGATGACAGAGCTTGTTTGTGTCGGCGAGCACGAATTCAGATTTTCGTGTCAGGGTTTGGGACCAATCTAGGATTCTGGCTGTTTAGCTTGTTACTCATGCTTACAGTGTTACACATCGATCGCACCCAACCCAGAAGAAGCATCCCTGCCATTGTACCGGTAAGTAGCACTGCTTACCGAACGCTCCAATGCATGATGTTCTGTCAGATGTCAACACAGGGTTGGTTGGCCGAGAGACTCCGCAAATCCTAACTCCCGGACCCTTAATTCAATAGACTTCCGCAATCCTCGGCGCCTTGACTTGGTCCAGAAGATCTCTGGATATGCTCCGTGGTCGTCCTACTAGCTTCCTGGTTCCATATGATGCTCCACTGAATTGGCATGTTTGAGATTGGATGTGCCACAAGTGATTCCACAGAGCAAGGTTATCAGCGTTTATCAGCCAGTGCATCAGCGAACGACTCCTTGTCGCACAACAGCACGGCTAAGGATTATGTTTCACTTCAACCTAACCCAGAAGAAGGCCTGGTCCATTGAAATGCTGTTTGGAGGGCTTCGGTCTTCGGTCCACTGTGACCAATGCCTACAGCTACTACCACATCTACCGCTGCTTGCTAGGTTAGGAAGCCATCGTCGTCGTGGTCCTATAGCATTAGTCGTCGTCGTAGCCCGGAGGTGCAGTAGTTGTAGGAAGTAGTAGCAGAAGAAGATGTAGAAGTAGAAGGCCCCCCCCCAACCACCTCTTCTAGACACCGTTTAAGCGCACATCCATTTTACTGGTAATTACAGTACTTCCGTGATGTCGTAGTCAAAAACCAACCACGCTGCCGAGGGGTGGGGGGTGGGGGGGGAGGGGGGATTGATGACGTACGTTTTAAGAGCACTTCCATTTTACTCTAAACGTCAGTACTTTCGTGATGTTGCAGTCCAAATACCAACGATGATGCTGATGATGATGATGATGATGATGGGTTTAGGCGCCGGGTGGTTGTTAGGGGGGGTCGGGGGTTGGCAAGTAGAAGCAGTAGTAGTAGCAGCAGCAAGCAGCAGGAGTGCTAGTAGCGATGGTGGTAGTAGTGGTAGTAGTAGTGGTAATAGTAGTAGTAGTAGTAGTAGTAGTAGTAGTAGTAAGAAGAAGAAGTAGTAGTAGTAGTAGTAGTAGTAAGAAGAAGTAGTAGCTTACTTTCTCACTCACTCGCCTCGTTGCTTACCTACTTCTACCGGCACCAACCACCACGACGACTACTACTACCACTACTACTACGACGACTACTACTACTGGTACGACTGCTGCTACTACTACTCCTACTACTACTACTACTACTACTACTACTACTATTACTAGTACTATTACTACTACTACTACTACTACTACTACTACTACTACTACTATACTATACTATTATTATTACTACTATTACTACTACTACTATTATTACTATTATTACTACTGTTACTAT